TCCTGAAAACAAGCTGAGACATGTACTCATCTGACCACATAACACATTTCCACTGTCTTTCAGTCCATCTGAGATGAGTTCAGGCCCAGAGAACTCATTTGTGTTTCTGCACAGAGTTGATGTATGTGTCCTCCTGGAGTAATAACAGGTTTTTCCACTATAGGAACCTACTGAACAACTGTGGCCAAAGAGGTGAAGGCGTCACACTTCTGCAAGTCTTTGTTCTGCCTGTTTAACAGCTGTTTGATATACTGCTCATACAGTCTCATTACTGGCTGATTGCAGCACTGCAGAGTGATCCTTCAAATCGTCTGTTCTCCCTCTGCTCAGCTGTGAGTGCATGTTTGAGAGGGGCGGCCCCTCCCTCCTCTAGACAGAGACCCGACACAGAGAAAATACAGTGGAAAAACAAAGCAGGCTGGTCTCTGTCAACCCGGGAGGTTATGTGAGGTGAAATAACGGGTATACCGCTCATTAGGTTCCAATAATGGAAACGCAGCAATAGAGTTTCAGGTTGCATTTCTGGATGCACCGGCAGACTGTGTTAAATGACAACAGTTTTCCAAAGTACTTCCAAGCCAATGTGGCTATATTCATCACGGTAGACTGACAGTTTCTCATGCAATGCTCCCTGAGGGCTTGAAGGTCATACACGTTCAACATTGAGTTTCGCCCTTTACCTTTACGCACTGAGTTTTCCACAGATCCCCTGAATTTTGTCACAATATTATGTACTGTAGATGGTGAAAAACCTAAATTGTTTGCAATCAGAAGAAAGTAGATTCCATCGAGCCATCAGAGATTATTTGAAGTCATCAAACTGGGAGGGGATGGGATGAGATCATGCACTGGGGGAAGAAGCTATATTGGGCATTTGAGAATGTTTTGGTTTAGCTCTATACATCGGATTAACTGGTGGACTGTTAAACTTAGGGGGCATTTGATTTATTTTCACTTACAATGTATTGATTTAGGTAGCTTCAGTTTAACTTCTGTTGTGAACCTGTGAATATCAGACAGTTTTTAAATATTTACTATAAATGGCAGCCCTCTGAAAATCACAGAAATCAATAACGACCCCCTGGAATGTAAAATGCTGACATGGCTAATAATATTCATGCATTATCTTGAGAAAAAAACAGCTTTCCAGTTGCAACTACTGAACCACTGTAATCAATCAATGTGTTATATTGCTTAAATAGCAAAATATAACACTGACTGGGCCAGATCATGGTTTAAATGAAAGGAACAAATAATATGTAGAAGCAAAATAAGAGCATGGATTACAGAATGACAAGAAGAAATTTAGAGATTATTAAAATTCTGACTCAGTGTTACCTTTACCCATGTAAAAAGGTTCAGGTCCTGTTCTGGTTGATGTGCACCTCAAAAATGTGAACTATGATTGATCAGTTGGGTTTGTTTGTGATTTTTTTTCTTCTATGTTTCTGTTCCCTGTAGCATTTTACAGTGAAGTCAGTATGAGCCAGGTTGAAGAAAGGATGTTGTCCATTACAGTTGATAACTCCTACTGACCACCACAAAAGAAATGAGAAAATGATAGTATGATTACTTTGAGTAAAGCTGAAATGGTTTGTCAATTTATAAACAGAGTAAATGTAAAATTATAGACAGATTGATCAATATCAATAATAATCATTAGGTGCAGCCCCGTTTTTAGTATACAATAAAGGTACTTTGTATCACCACATGAATGACTAATTTATTGTGTTTTTACAGGTTTATTACAGTCACCGATTTAAAAGCTATGGTCAAGTCACATGCAACTGCAGCATTTCCTATACATCTAACATTTACAGCTCTCTTTCAGTAGCAAGATCACTACCAACAGAACTCACATTCACACACAGAAACACACACCTCTTTCTCTCTGGGATGTTGCTATAGAGACAGTAATAAAATTGTCAGAACAGCAGAGATGTTTTCCCTGCTGTGGCTTGAGTAAATAGATCTGCTGACAGCTGGAATACACAAACAGCAGTAGCCCTAAAGCAAGGCACTAATACCGCCAGAGTAATGTCATATTCATGTTTAGTATAACAAACAAAGATAGGCTGTACCAACTGGCACTGGAAGACAACTGTCAACCATGGTGGTAAAATTCAAACCAAGACGGCACTGTAGATAGATGTAAAAATGATTACCATGGTGATCTGCTACAGTAGGCTCTTGTTTATTAGTAGGTGGGTGGGCGGGTGGGTGTGTTGAGGGTGGGGGATCTTTGTGGACATAGAATGGATGAGGAGGAAAAAAAGAGGTTATGTCTTGCTATCAACAATCAGTTATGATCATACTTGAGCCTATTACAGCCATCTAGCTCTTGGACAGATGGCTGTACCCCCAGTGAGAAATCTTTGAATGAATAGATTATGAGGTGATTTTGAACATACAACAAACAAATGTTAAAGATGTCACTCACTACATCAGTGTTGTGGTTCTGGTTAGCTTAGTTAAGTTGTACAGTAGCATAATTATTGTAGTGAGGGTGCACCTGAACAAAGCGCAGTACTTGGCATTCTCCAAAGATCTTTCTGTTTATGATCTGCCCAAGGCAGCTTGTGTCTGCCCATTTACAACTGTTCAACTGTTAGCCTGCATTATTTTAAAGTATTTCTATCTGGTGCAATATCAATATCTCAGTTTTGCATATACAGTACATTACATATGTAGTCCATTTATTAGGGTATACGAGTACATTCACAGCTGTCAAAATAGTGGCCAGTAAATGGTGGTTATAGCAGCAGTACAATCATACTGTATATGCATAAAGCAACAGAAAGTCAGAGTAAATGTAAACAAATACTGTGTTAATTTCCTATGACACATTGTCCCTTGCTACAGATTAGAGTGAATGTCATAATTAATAGTAGTAGCAGTTTCACTGTGGTACTCCATGTCCAGTGGACCAAAGTCAAAATGAACAGTACACACAGTGCCACTGTTATCAGGGGCTGACATTAACAATGGCACGTGGCCACAAAACATTACTGTGTGGTCACCCTATACCCCCTGCAGGTGGCCCACTGTGGCCACCAAGCATTATCTGATCTCTACTGAGGATGAGGCACCGTGTCTCAGACCCACTACACTTTGCCAACTAGGGGTGTAAGGAAATATGGATATACTTAAATATTGTGATATTATGCTTTGTAATACTATACTCATTCTTAAAAGCACAGTATCGATTTTTAATTAATAGTTCACATGACAAGTAGTTGTTGGTTGTTACAGGGAGTGCTACAAATGCAAATGCAGATCCCAGTTCTGACTGCATAAAAAAGTAAATAGGAGATTTTATGTATATATTGGTGTGTGGCTTATTTTATAATATTTTTTCTAAAATGTGATTTTTTTTAAAAATCACAATATATCACCTTGTTCACAGTATCGCAATATGTCGAAATACATCAAATCATAACCCCTGTATTGTACTTATTATATCGCCAGATTCTTGCCATTACACAGCCCTATCACCAATGCAACGTTGATGTTCCACAAACATCCTGTTTTAATCACAAATTTTAGTTCAGAATTCTCCAAAAACAGCAAACAGTCAGGTTACTTGTTGCTGGTTCACTGCTGTTATGTCAGGGATGCTGAAGTACGGGTTTCCTAAGCCTAATCAAACTTCTAACATGATCACTACTGAAGAACCAGAAACACAGAACATGGACTATGCAAAATGGCAATGAAGATTTAGGAGTGAATGAAAACAGGAGTATAAGTGGCTAGAATATAACACATCTAACAATGGAATGTACTGAGGTGTACACAGGACTGACGCAGTGACAATGCTGGGAGGGAGGGAGTGTGCATCAGGCACATGAATGCATGGGGGGGTGCAAAAAAGATGAACTGACAGACAGTATATGTTGGAAGTATGTATAATAGGTATGTAAATGCTTTTTCTAATTTTTCTATTACAGACATGACAGAATCAGGTGCAATGGTGGGGAGAGAGGGAGCAAAAGAGAGCAGGTATGAGGCTGGGGGAGCTGCAATATATGTATATATGTATGTTTACTTTCGGATGCCTCCTGGGCGCCTTCCTAGGAAGGTGTTCCAGGCATGTCCCACCGGGAGGAGGCCC